ACACACACACACACACGCACACACACACACACACACACACACACACGCACACACACACACACACACACACACACACGCACACACACACACACACATACACACACTCTCTCTCTCTCTCTTCTCTGTCTCCACACTCTATCTTGCTTCCCCTCTCCCTCCATTCAGCCACACTCGCTCGCTTGCGCCTGATCAGAGCCGCCATGGCGCGGACAGGAAGCGCAGGTGATGGCACGGGTACAAGGGGCACCAGGAGCAGCAGAATGGGCAGAAGTAGCAGAAGCAGGGGTGGTGGTGATAGTGAAATGATTGCGCTCTCTCCTGCCAGGAAAGTCACCAGAGTCCGATTTGCCGCCGAAGCCGTCGCGGCAGCCAGCGAGGGTGGCGCCGACGATGAAAGAGGGGTTGATGGCCCAGGCTTGCCGCAGCCGGATGCCCACATGCGCGCCATTCAGGCGCAAGTGGCCGAGCTCGACGCAGAAGAGGCTGCCGCTGTGGAGGCTGGAGACTTGGTGGTGTCGGCGTCACGGACGGCGCTGGATGAGGCAAGAATCCCCTGCAGGCCGAGCTGGCCATGCTAGCGGGTGCGTCGGCCAAGGCACTGGCGCAGAGCAGCAAAGGCAGTGGCGGCAGCAGCGGTGGCAATGCCGAAGTGTTTGGCAAGGGCAACGAGCACACTGCAGCCCGGCTGGGCAAGAAGACCATCTCGGTCCCGTTTGGTTTCCGCTTCCTCCGCAGACTCCGCGATCCAGAGCAAAAGGCCATGCACCATGTGGCGTACAACGCCAAGCGCGACTCGTTTGCAGTCCTTGACAACGCCTGCCTCCACCTCTACCGTGGCGCCCGCGAGATCAAGCGAATGCAGCTCCAGCGGATCCGCAGGCTCGTCACTTTTGTCCTTCTCCCCGAGTTTGAGGTCTACATCGGGGCGACGGTCGATGCGACGCTGCGGATCTTCAACTGGCGGTTTGAGCTCATCTCGTCGGTGGCCACCGACTATGTTGACGTCCACGCCCTAACCTACAATCCGGTCCGAAGCGAGCTGATTGGCGCAGGCTCGCAGTCGGTGGTGGTGTGGAAAGTAACCAAGGACGCCACGCTGCTGCACCAGAGCATCGTCTCGCTCACTCGCATATTTGAGGCGCGGTCGCCGGTCGCCCGGCACGTGACCGGTATTGCAGTCTCCAACTCGTCGTTTGCGCTGTATGTGTATTGGGACACCCACCTCTCCATTCTCGACCCAGTCATCGGCTCGTCGGAGCGCGCCGCGCTCGACATCCACCGTCGCCATGTTACCGGCGTGGTGTGCGATCCAAAGTCCGAGGTGATCATCACCTCGGGCATGGACGGCAAGATCAAGATCTGGACTCTGTCCATGTTCCTTGTCCGAGTTCTGGACGGCCATGCCGCCGGCGTCACGCAGATCTCACTCAACCCCGGAAACCCGGAACTGCTGCTCTCAGCCTCGCTCGACCGCTCGGTCCGAGTCTGGGACATCCACACCCACCAGCAGCTCTACCGACTCGACTTGACGACGCCGGCCCTCGGCGGAGCCTTCATCTCGCCGAACACCTTTTACTGCCGAAGCAACCGCGCCATCGACGTGTGGTCCATGGCTCGCTCGTTCTCGCACTTTTGCCTTGTCCGCGCCCCGGTCATCGGCATCTCTCGCGTCGCAGAAGTCATGGGTGCCCGCCAGCCCGGCCGCGTCTTGTACCAGCTTGCCGACGGCACCCTCGGTCTCAAGACTCTCGACGCCGCAACCATCACCACGGTCATCCCGCAGCTCTCATTCTGCACTGTGGCCGATGTGGCGTACTTTCGCAAGGGTGAGATTATGGTCGTCCTTCTCGACGGCTCGTCGGACACTGAAAACGCCGACGTCTCTCGCTCGCCCCGCCGCCCACCGCCTGGCTCCGACCATCTTTTACTGCGGCCCGACTCCGCCCTCTCCCGCCAGCGCTCGTCGTATGTGCGCTCTCAGAGCTGGTCCCGCTCTTCATCGAGGACGACGCTCACCCGCTCGGCGCTGGGCCCGTCGCCGTCGCAGGCCCACCTCCCGGACATCGCCGTGAGCCAGGGGGCCGCCCCGCCGCCGCGCAAGATGCGGAGTGGCGAGATCAAGACCGAACACCTCTTCCGTTCGCGGCAGTACAAAGTCTCGCGCGCTTTCGCCGACATCAACCGCTTTGGCCCAGTCGGCGCCGCCGTCCACTCGTCGCGGTCCAAGCACCGCGAGATCCATATCTTCTCCACCTCGACCTCGCCCGCCGCCCACATCCGCTCATGGACCAACTACGGGCGCGACATCGAGCTACGCTCGGAGATTTGCGACGAAGAGCTCTCAGTCATCACGCTCGTTCCGCTCGAGTCCCGCAAGTCGCAGTTCCTAGCGAACGTCAACATGGCCGGTCGCGACCCGGCAAAGGACATTGCTGTCGTCCCCTCGCACTATGTGGCGGGTGGAACATGCTCCGGCACTCTCGTCCTCGCCGACATGTACCGCAACGGCGACATCATCCGCCGCATCCCGGTCTACGCTGCCGGCACCGTTGCCTGCCTCGAGTACCTGCCGCGGTTTGATGCGCTCCTCATCCACAACACGCGCGTTGTTCTCATTGCCCACATCGCGTTTGGCTACAACACTTACCACCGCATCACACCGTCGCTCCACCAACTCGCCACCATCGACGCTACTGTCGAGACTGGGGCGCTAATTGCGTCGACCCGAGTCTCAGATCGAGCGCTCGTCATTGGATCCACAGACGGTCTGTTCTCGGTCTACGGCTTCAAAGCCAAGGGTGTGCGCCAGATGTCGCGGGCAGCGTCGACGGTAGCCTCCACCTTTGCGCCCGTTGGCTCAGGCGCCGCCAACTTGCGCCGAGCAACCGACTCTGCCGCCTTCCCAGACTCGGACTTGGACTCGGACTTGGACTCGGAATCGGACTCTCAAGCCAACGCTCTGGACTCGTCGTCATCCATCCTTCTGCGTGACCGCAGTCGGTGCGAGGTCTCGAACGAATCCATTGTGGTCCGCATCAACCCAATGCAACGCAGTGGCGAATCAGTCACTGCCCGAGAGTCGCACAAGGCGCCCATTTGTGACGCAGACTATCACCCTGTGTGGCAGATGGTGGTGACGACGACGTCGTCAGGCCACGTCATGTTTTGGGACATCAACAACCAACTCATCACCGAGCTGTTTCTGGAGATGGCGGTCCACTGTTGCTGCTTCGTCAACGGGCAGGCTGACGTCCTCGTTGGTGTCGACAACGCCATGCTTGTCCTCCGTCGTGACTCGTACTTTCCGGCTCCGATCTCGCTCGACGAACTAATCACCATCTCCCCGCAGGCTCCGCATCCCGGCCTGCCGCCGACCCGCATGTGCGCCCGAGACTATGTCCACGACGAGATCGAGGACAATGCTGACGCGCTGGACGATCCCGGTAACGGTTCGTTGCCCATCCGTGTCTGGCCACGGCACGTGCTGCAGGACGCGCTCGCCTCGGGCCTCATCCCGGCCGAATCAAACCTCGCCCAGGCGCTTGCTGCCGAGTCCGAGGCACTGAGCAGCGGAGTATCACCTCATGTGCGCGCTTTGCATTCGCAGTATGCTCGTGAAGCAGAGAACAAGCCAGTCCAGTTTGACAACGAGAAGCTGGCCTTTGCCTCAAGCAAAGCCACGTTTCTCTCGCTCCCGTCGTCGGCGTCGCTCTCCAACCTCGACCGACTCCGCATCATGCTGGCGACGCCAGGGACACCAACGCGTGGCACGCTTGAAGGCCAGCAAGCCGAGGAAACGGGGCTGCCAACCGGCACTGGCGCTGGCCTTGCGCTCTTGATCAAGGAGTGCCCGCCCAGCCGGCTGTCGTCCGCAAGCTGGAGCAGCAGCACCAGTGATGGCGAGGCGAGTAGCGAGACCACACCGCCACTTCCGAGCACAGTAGTCTTGTCAGGCTCGACGGACTCGCTTGCTGAGCTGAATCGGGCAGTGCTGAGCGATGCAGCGCTGCTGATGGGCAACACATCTGACGCCGAGTCATCTAAGTCGACTTTGCCACCAGACACATCGCTTCAAGCCGAGCCGTCTGCACAGTCCCTCTCGTCGAGCTTGCTGTCCGAGAGCTGGTACGGTAGCCCGAGCTTTGTCGCCTACTCCAGCGGCGCCGCCGGGGAGTCCGCGCTACCACTGCAGGTTGTCCGATTTCTCTCAGGTGTTCCGCAGCTCGGCTCTGTCGACGTCAATCTTGTCCGGCCGCAGCTCGACCGCGGGCTCAATGTCCGTGCCGAGGGCCGGATGACAACTGTGCCGCAACAGCTCGTCAGCGATTCTCTGCCACGTGGAGACGAGTCCGAAGGAGCCACGACTTCTTTCCGCGAGTCGACCATTCTGCGAATCCGCTACTTGCTGCGACACGGCGAGTGGGCCCTTGTGGCGCGGGCGCTCGACATCGTGCGCATGATGCGGCTGTGGACCGATAATGCGGTGCTCGACGACATGTTGGTGGTGCTGCGGACGCACGAGTCATGGATTGTGCGCCGGATGCTGGCGCAGATGCTGGACACAGCCAGCATTCGGTCTGACGCTGTGGTATATGAGCTGAATCATGCCCGAATCAATGACCCCAACGCTGAAGTCCGGCGTGCAGCGCGAGCCGCGCTTGCCACTCTCCACGTCCAGCGCAAGCGAACCCACAAGGCTGCAGTGCGGATGGCGGCTGCTGAGCTGGACTTGCTTGTCACCCAGTTTATGGAGGCCAAGGAGAAGTCACAGCTCGGCAAGGTTTCAGTCGACGACATGCTCTTTGAGGTGCCTGACGATGTGGAGGACGAGGACTTGCGAGCTTCGTTTGCTTCGCTCGTCGACTTTAACCGGCGGCTCCGCCGCATTGCTGAGCTGGTCTTTGCGAGCAAGACCAAAGCCGTCGAAGACGAGGTTGACATTGCTGCACTGGTCGCTTCTCTGCCGCGGATGCGCTCATTTGAGGAGCGAGCTGTGGCACGTGCCAAGGCTGAGGCCGCTGCGCAGGCCGAGGCCGCCGCGCAAGCCGAGGCCGCCGCGCAAGCCGAGGCCGCCGCGCAAGCCGAGGCCGCCGCGCAAGTGGCTAGCGATGTCGAGAGCGGCGAGTCTGAGGGCGAAAAGCAAGTAGCCACGAGACCAAGAGCAGTGTGACGTGCAGTAGCGACGTCATCGAGACGGACACACCGTCGTCAGGCGCTCCTGGTGCTAGCGGCGTGTCTGGAGGCCACGATGCGGTGTCATCCACCAGTTCAGAGGCGCTCTCAGACGTGCTGGAACGGTTCACTTCATGCTTGATTGACGCCGCCGACATGGCACTGGACGCCGATGAGTCGCTTGTCCTCCCAAACGTCGTCAGGCTCGATTATCAGCGACCGATTCTGCCACCGGCGACGCCGCGGACACCATCGAGTGACGAGCTTGTCTCGCTAGCCTCCACATCGAGTGATGCAACAGCTGTCGAGAACGCGATGCCGACCTCGGCGCTTGTCAAGAAGACTTTCACCGACAGTGGGCTGTTTCGAAGCTTGCACAGCAATAGCGGCGTTCGGGTTGCCGACCTCGACTCGACAGGAGTGTGGGACGACGCGCTGCAAGGTACCAAGTTTGACTCGATCGTGCTGCCAGGCCACGAGACGGCGCCATCAGAGACCGACGAAAGCGGCGAGCTCGAGGCAGCGACGCCGCGGAGCGAGTCGACAACCACAGAGCGTGAGACGAGCCGCACCTGGTCGCAAAGCTCGATGGCAACAGATGCAAGCAATGCCTGGAGCGCGCAGGCTCCACAAGCACTCAACGGGTCGGAAACCTCGGACGCTTCGTCGGACTGGGCCGCGCATCCGCGGTCGCTGGCAGCCCTGCTTTTCTTTCCGACGGCGAGAATGCAGGTGGAGACAATAACTTTGCCGCCGGAGGCGGGAATGTCCGGGCCTATGCCGATGTCGACGGTAATGGGGATGACGAAAGCGATGAGAGCGACGCCGCTGCACACCAGCAGCCGCCAAAGGCTTCCGGCGACGAGCCGCCCGCATCTGAAACAAGGAGCCGGCCTTCACTCCGCGCTGCAGCTGAGGCGGTGAAGAGTGCCCTGGCCTTGCGGTCGCCGTTTTCACGCCGGTGCAGGATGATGGGAAGCTGTTTCCGCTCACCGTCTCGTCGTCACGGGTCTCGATCTACGAACAGCTAGGGTTGGTGCGTTCCGACTCGCAGGCCGAGGCCTCCCACCTGTCGTCAAAAGTGGCACGGACACAGCAAGCTGCGATCGCACCAGGCTACTTTGGATTTGAGCTACCCTCGGCTTTGGCAGCCGACGACGACATCGAAACGCCGGCCGTGACCGTGGCGCTTGACGAGAGCGGCGATTCAAGCGAAGATCGGAACATAATGGGCACAATGGCCATTCCGTTTGAGCGCTCTCAAGACCGCATCGATGTGGCTAGTATGGCGGAGTCGTCCAGGCGGCAAGGCAAGCAGCGGCTCTCATCGGCAGCGCGGTCGGTGATGAGCCGGCTGGCGGTAGTACACCGCGCTCGCGGCGGAGTTGCGCCGCCGGCGCGAACCATCGCCGAGCTCGCTAACCCGAGGCCTGATCCGGCTGTGGATGCAGACCAAACAGAGGCGACAAAGTCTATCACCAAGCGCCCTCGGGCCGATGACCCCAGCTTTATGTTTCTCTCCAAGTCGACCTCGCTCACCGAGCTCATGACAGCGCTCTCGCTTGACTCGCTCGGCTCTGCGGGCGATGACGGGCAAAATGAGGCTGTCGAGCCCGGGTCAGATCTCGAGTCCGAGTACGAAGAGGATGTCGAAGAGGTGGACGCTACCTCACTGTGGGGCGCCACCGGGCCGCGTGCTGCACGTCTCGAACAGCTCCTTCACGGCAATCTTCTCGCGCGAGCGGAAGGAACTGCCGTCGAGTCCTCAAGACCGCATCCTCCACCCAAGCGAGCACCGGCACCAGCCCTCCCGCCGCTCTTCCCGCCCGTCCCGCCTGAGACGGCTCGGCCAGTCCAAGGCCGCCGCCCGCGGCGGCGACGCCGCGCGGTCATTGTTCCTCAAGCCGGCACTGAGCATGGTGGCAGTGGCGATGCGGTCGGTGCCGATCCGCTTGACGAACCGCTGGCGCCTAGCGATGACAGCAGCTTGCTCGCACCCGCCACACCTGTCGCGGCCGCCGCGGCCAAAACCAAAGCCAAGGCCGAGGCCGAGGCCGAGGCCGAGGCCCAGTGGTGGCGTGGGCGCAATTTTTATGTTGCCAAAACCCAGTGGGGTTAAAAACCAGCGCGCTACGGCGACGATGACGACGCGGCGGGTGGCGGAGCAACCACAGGTATCCAGACCCGGATGGTGCGATCACCCGAGCCCGAGGCTAGGATGTGGCGCGGATCGGCAGAAGCCGCCGGCCGCTGGGCAAGGGCGTGGATGTAGCCATGGTGAGCGTCGAGGGTGCGGACGCACTCGAAGCGTGAGATGACGCCGGAGCCATGGGCTGGGCGCGAACGTGGTCCGGATCCACGGCCCAGATCATGATGCGGTGGTCAAACGAGGCTGAGACAAGCCAGGTGTTGGCGCTCGACGTCACGACCTCCATTTGCCACACCGGCCAGCGATGGCCCTTGAGCACGCCTTCAAACTCGTACTCACGAGCCATATTGTAAACACCAATGGTGTAGGAGCACGAGGCAAAGAGATAGTCGCCGGCGAGGGCGAGAGCCAGGATCTTGGACTCGGCCTGGACAACGACAACCGGCTCGGGAAGCTCGAGGTTGCTCACATCGGCCAGCGGCGCCAGCAAGCGGCTGATGTCCAGAAGCGATACAGTGCCGTCGTCCGAAGCGATGTAGAGCAGATCGCCGGCACGGGTGAGGGCCGAGATGCCGGCGTCACGGATTTTGACCGAGGCGAGAACAGCAAGCGACCAGGCGTGGGTGAAGCAGAGTGTGCCCGAAGCGTCGCCAGAGATGAGGACATTAGCCAGCGGCTCGTAACGGAGGGCGTAGATCTTGGCGGTGTGGACCTCAAGCTTGCCGACGCGCTCAAAGTGCGGAGCAGACGAGGCCGCCGGCGACGCGACCCAGACCAGGATGCTAAAGTCGGACGATGCCGAGAAGAGGCGGCGCGAGACGTGCGGTGCGTCCGAGTCGTCGTCGTAGTCCGAGTAGACCTCGTCGGGGACCGGGACAAAGGCCTCCTCCAGGGCCCACACCGTGTAAGCATGGCCTTGCAGGACGGCAAGACACTCAAAGGTCTCGAGCGACCAGACACGGATGGTGGTGTCCTGCGAGCCCGAGTAAAGGTAGGCCGAGCCGACGCAGAGTGCAGTCACACCCGAAGTGTGGCCCTTGAGCGTCCGTGCACACTCGAGCCGCGTCGGGCTCCACACCTCAAGGCCAGCCGTGGCCGACAACGCGCGCGATCTCAGCGATGGCGTGCCAGGCTCGGGTTCGTCAGCCACGGCGGCACTTGCGGATGCGCCGGCACAAACACTCGCCGACTGGCCAAGGCCGAGGCGGGTGGCGATCGGCTCCGGAAGATTCTCTTCCAGCAGCGCCCGGAGCTCCGGCGCAATGCTCGCCACCGGACCGGCAGCGTCGGCACTGGCCAGCGCCAACAGTGCGGCGCGGAGGGCGTCGACCTCTTCGGACTTGCGGGCGAGCGCGTCTTCGAGCACCTCGATCTTGGAGCAGGTCTCGCTGATAAAGGTGGTGACCTTGGCGTACGGGCAGTCGCCATCGGGCGCCGTATGGGCGTTGACAGCGTCCCAAGTAGCAGCATAGGCACAGCCGTGCTTGCGGAAGGGACAGCGGGCCGGGCGCGAGGCGCAGGCCACTCGATGGGCCTCGAGCTCTGCCAGCGGGAAGATGGCTGTGCAACCGGCAGAGCGGAACGGGCAGTACACATCCATCTCGTCGAGCAGATCCTGGACAAGGAGGTTTGGATGGATGTCGTCTGAGCCGAGGACGGCGCGGCAGAGCGGACACTCGGGCTTGAGGGCCACGGCCTGAAAGATGCAGTGGGTGCAGAAGGTGTGCCGGCAGGGAGTGAGGGCAGGCGCACGGAGCGTCTCTGTGCAGATAGGGCAGGCAAGCCGAGCCGACGGCTCGTGCACAAACGCTGTTGCTGCCTCCTCTATAACATCATGCCCCACTCTGGATGATGCCATTCTCATTCTCAGTCTGCCTGGCTGGCTGGCTGGCTGGCTGGCTGGCTGGCTGGCTGGCTGGCTGGCTGGCTGGCTGGCTGGCTGGCTGGCTGGCTGGCTGGCTGGGGAGAGGTGGTGGCGAAAGTGGCGCCAGTGGCGTAATAAGCTCACAGGAGGCCAGGCTCTTTGACATTGTGGCATTCTGGCGTCATGAGAGTGAAATCAGGGGTGCAAGGTGTGGCGTAACCGTCTTGTCGCTGCCTTTAAGCTATCTTGGCTGCCTTGGCGCTGCCTTGCCCATCGGCAGAGATGGGCAGAGCAGCAGTGTTGAAAAAGCGGAGATCTTGTGTGGCTGAAAAAAACGCACATTCTCACCCTGCGTATCCTCATCTCCGCAAACACTCGAGCTACCAGCGAGTATCCCGATCTACTGCCATCACCATACCCTTGATCATCTACAGATGTAAATGCCAGCTGGCATGCTGAGCCGATCACGCCCTCCTCGAGCCGCGGCGGGAGCAGCAACACCTGCGACGTAGTTGTGTACCAAGCAGCTAGTGAACAAGCAGGAGGCATGCCGCTGGTATCAACACCCCGCATCGTGATGACTATGCTCACAGCCAGCCCGATGGTCAAGGCCAGGCTGGACAATGATCTCTCCACCCCCACTCCCCACTCCCCACCCCCTCTTCTGCTTCAAACACAGCCAGGCATCGTCAGACAGGCATCACACGCATTCATTTGCGGGGAGAGGCAAAGACATTGGTGCGAGCCAACTATTACTCCTTGATAACAGCAAGGATGTCGTCGTCGTGGAAGAGGAACAGATCGTCCTCGCCAGGAACGCCGATCTTGGAGCCACCGTACTCGGGAAGGAGGACCTTGTCGCCGACAGCGACCGCAACAGGGCGCTCCTCACGGCCAGGACCGACAGCCACAACCTCACCCTCGTTGTTCTACACACACACACACACACACACCAGAATACACACCAGCATATACATGCTCCACTGTGAGTCCTCGCCCGAATGAGCTCCCCTTGGTCTTCGCTCACCGCCAGCACAGCCCACCAGGCAGGGCAGGACTCCCCAACGTGGGATGGGCGTCGCTTCACGAAGGTGAGCCATCTTCACCGGACACCTCGGCTGGCAGCAGCGCCTCCACAACACCACGTACCTTGTCCTGGGCAGACTCCGGAAGGAGAATTCCACCAACGGTCTTCTCCGCAGGCTTGGAGCGCCGGATCAGCACACGGTTGAACAGAGGGGCAATACGAGCAGCCTACGTCCACACCCCCCCCCCGCAGTGAGTCACCCCGCCGTCACCAGGCATCGTCGCCCCACCACCTGCCCCTCCCCCTCTCGAGCCACAGGCCACACAGCCATGTTCACCCATCAAGCATCGGGCCACACAGCGTCATGCTACACCACTCTGTGCACCCATTCCTCGCTCCCGATGCTCCATGCTAGCCTTCGCTTGCCTGAAACAACCCCGCCCGTGCTACATACCATGACGCGTTGCAGTCGAGTGGTGCCCTCTGCTGCCCACCGTCGCCCGCTGCCCACCGTCGCACGACCTTTTCCTGCCGGACCACGATCATGATCGCGATCGCGATCACGACGCGCCGCTCAACCACCCCACCCTACCCACACTCTCCCCGCACCTCCGCCCGAACGGCCGCTCCCGTCAACACAAACACACACCACCGGCATTACACCGCCTCGCCTCTACGCGCTTGGACTCTTGCTCCTTCGCACACCATGTCGACAAACCGCGAGGAGCTGCTCGCAAAAGGGCGCGAGCAGGTTCGTTTTGGCGCCAACCCCCCCTCCCCCCTCCCCCCCCCCCCGCCTGCACAACCTCCCCTCCCCAATCACTCACCCCCGCAAACCAGTTTAACAAGCACAAGAAAAGGGGAAAGCGCCGCAAGAATCGGAGTGGCAAGGCCGAGACCGGATCCGGCCAGAGCCCGGCAACACCCGAACGTGAGACCGAGCCCGAGGCCTCCGTCTTTACCACCGACTCGACCGACGTGGCGCTACTGGCAACCGATGACGACGACAATGCCTCTGACGTAGCAGACGTGCTCGATGACTACCTCCAACCGACCCCTCCACCCGAAACGCCACCGAGATCGCCTGGGGGAGACGCGCTCGCGGACTATCTTGCCCCGGCGTCGCCAACTACTCCACCGCAGAATGGGCCCTCGCTCGGCTCGACAGACGATGATCCCACAGCGTACCTGCAGTCGCTCATGATGCTCTCGCCGATGACGCCCGCGCAGTCTTCTGCTCCCCCCACTTTTGAGCACACGCCGCAGGAGGCATCGCTCGCCTCACGCTTTGTCTCGGCCGAGGTGCCTGAAGAGGACACCACGGTCCAGCCCGCTTTCAAGGCTACCGTGGCCACTCTCACTGCCGCACTTAAGAGCACCGAGCACGTGGACAATGCCTCGATTGTCGAAGGCGTCCGCAAGCTTGCCACACTGCATAACCGCCGCGCTCAGAACCTCAAGTCGATCATCGACTCGCAGCGAGCCCATCTTCAGCAACTCAAGACCAACGAGCTTGATCTCGCCGCGGCTGAGGCAAAGGAGTATGACGATTTCATCAACGAGACAATGCAGGAAAACGAGGAGCTGACAGAGACCAACGAGAAGCTCACCATCGAGCTCGATGAGCTCAAGGCCGACCGTGCTGCACTCGGCGACCGCCTTAAGTCGCTTCAGCTCAAGCTCGACGATCATGCTTCGCTGCTCGAGACAACGAAAAATGAGGCAGCTCAGACTCGGACGGCGCTTGCTGAAGCCGAGCAAGCCGGTAAGGCCGCTCGCGACGAAATCGACAGCCTCAACAACCGCATCGACGCTCTCGAGCGTGACCTTGCCGACGCCCGCAACTCGGCAGCAGAGGCGAACGAGCTCAACAAGACCCTCAACGATCAGGTGACCCAACTCGACAGTTTTGTTGCCACCGCCACTCGCGAGCGCGACGATCTCGCCGCCGCTGCCTCGTCAGCAGCTGCGAAGAGTGCCGAAGAGCTCGTAGCTGCCCAGCACGAGATCGAGCGGCTGGCCACCGAGCTTCGCGCCGTCCGCGGCGAGTTTGCTGCAGTCACCGCCGGCGAGAAAAAGTCCAAGGCTGAGCTCCGCAAGCTCACCGCCGACGCCGCCGACCGCGAGGCCAAGCTTGCTACCGAGGTCTCGGCCCGTGAGGCCCGGATCAAGACGCTTGACGCAAACCTGGTCGACGCCGACTCCCGCATCGAACTGCTTCAGAGCGAGCTGACCAAGTCGCGTGAAGCCGAGGCGAGTCTCCGCAATGATCTCGCCTCCCTCAGCGACGAGCTGGCAAAGGCACGCGACGACGACGCCACCCATCTTGCCCAGTTGGAGACTGCAGATCAAGAGCGCGAGGTCCTAGCTGCCCAGCTCGACGCCGCCACCAAGGAGCTCAAGGCCGCCAGGGCCGAAGCCGCTGCCGACCGCACCACCCTCGCTGCCGCCCAGTCAGAGCTTGACTTTGCTGAGAACAAGGCCGCCGCTGCAGAGACCAAGCTCGCACAGCTCGAGTCCGAGGCCGGCGCTGCCCACATGACTGTCGCGGAGCTGACAGAAAGCGTCGAGCGGCTGACAACCATCAACGACGACTTGCAGGCCCGGATCAACGAGCAGGCTGGAGAGCTGAAAGAGGTTTCAGCCGAGGCTACTGATGCTGCAAGCCAGCTCTCCCAGCTGTCGGCCAGTCGCGACCAGCTTCAGTCCGACTACGAACTTTCCCAGTCTACGCTCGCCGACGTGCACAAGCGGCTTGCGCAGGCTGAAAAGGTCGAGTCCGAGCTCCGCGCTCAGCTTGCAGCTGCTCTTGACGAGCTGGCGAGTGCCAAGCTCGCCGCCACTGATGCAGTCAGTCTTGCCAAGCTCAACGACGAGCTCGAGACCAAGCTCATCGCACTGAAGCAGGATGTGAAGCGGCTCGAAGTCGAGCGCGACGAAGCTCGCTCGAACGTTGACACCTCGTCCAAGTCGCACATCGAGTCGGTCCAGTCACTCTCTAAGCAGGTCGAGTCGCTGACGGAGAGCCTTCGCCGCGAATCGGACCGTAACACTGAGCTCAACTCGTTGCTGCAGGCCGCACACGCCCGCATCGCCGAGCTCGAAAGTGCCGCCAGCGATGCTGCTGCCGCTGCCGCCGACAACGACAAGTTCACCTCTGAGTTGGACGCACTTCGTGATGACGACCCGAGCCTCGATATCAGCGTTGCAGCTTGCATGTCGTGCACTGAGCTGCAGAGCTCGCTCGATACGCACGAAATGGTCTCCCGTGAGGTGGCCAAGACCCTCATCGACGCTCTCGGGTCGGATGCGCCTGCTGCCGCCCACCCCGACGAGATCCTGCCGATGGCGCTCAGCGCTGCCAGCCTCATTGGCCGGCTTCAGAGTGATCTGGACGAGGCCGAAGCCGCTGCCGCGACAGCCGTGGCCAGCGCCGACGCCGCCCTAAGCACTGTTGCTCAGCTGGAAGCCGAGGCCTTCGAGCGTCAGTCTGACTTTGACGAGCTTCAGACCCAGTGCGACTTGCTCGAGCAAGAGCGCGACGACCTTGTGGCATCATCGGCGGACTCGGCCCAACTGGAGGGGCAAATCCGCTCGCTGGAAGCCGCACTCGCCGACCTGTCGCAAACCTTTGAGGCTCGCAACAACGAAAACGAGGCCACCATGGGAGCCCTTAGGTCCGAGAATGCCGCTCTCAAATCCGAGCTCGCTGCACTCACCGACCTGTCGCAGACGCTCAAGGCCCGCAACGCTGAGAACGAGGCCACTCTGACGGCGCTCACTTCCGAGCGCGATGCGCTGCAGTCTGAACTCACGGCCCTCGCAGACGCTTCTCAGGCTGTGGAAGGCCGTAACGCCGAGAATGAGACGCTTGTGGCAGCGTTTCAGCGCGAGTGCGAGACGCTGCAGGCTGACAAGGCTGATCTTGTCGCCCAGGTCGAGGATCTCAAGGTCGAGGTGGCATCGACCCAGCTGCAAGTTTCTTCGCTCGAAAGCGAGATCAATCCCATGCGGCAACAGGTGTTGGCGCTCCTCGAACAGAATGATACCCTCGAGCACGAGGTCCGGCGCCAGGGAAGCCCAGCGGCAATGACCTCACTCAAGGGCAGCTTCAGCTGGCGCAAGACGATCTCCGCGTCGCGCAGGACACCGTTGCCGACCAAAAGGTGCTCGTCGGCATTCTTAAGGAGGCTTTGATGGAGCAGGCGGTTGCCGCCTCGTCAGTCGATGCATGCGGCCACCCGCGCGAGCTCAAGCTCAAGTACCCCGGCCAGCGCGCCAAGCTCCCAAACTTGTCCGACGACGACGACAACGCACGAGCTAACGAGCTCCTCTTCTCCATGTCCACCGCAAAGGCGCTCTCGGCCCGGGCTGGCGTTGACGTCACTCCCGCTTTTGGCGGAGACACTGCACTCTCGCTCTCGACCTCGTCATCGGGCTCGCTCCACGAGAGCAACGCGTCCGTCCCGGAGCCATCAAACCTTGCTCCCGAGCCGACGACTGTCGAAGACCTCGTTGCCGAGCTTGCCCACCTGCGCCGTACCAACCGCGTGCTCGAGGAGCGTATCGCTTTGTACGAAAACCCGCAGTCAGGAGCCACCGAGGCACTCGATGGCCTTGCCATGCCAAGCTTTGATGACGGCCAGACCGACGACCTTGATCTGCTGCTTGCGTTTGGCGAGTCGCTTGCCGACCACTCGATGCCGCGCCGCGAGCTGAGCGAGGCCTCCAGCGAGCCCGCTCCGGGCTCGTGTGCCATCTCGGCGTGGGAGGTCCTCCGCTGGGTCAAAGAGGCGCTGACTGCGCTCGGCATTGGGCGTCACTCGCTCAACAATGCTTCACTCGCCGCCTACCCCCGCAAGTGGCTCGATGCTCTCCTTCGGCACATTGATCTGCGGACCCGCAAGATCAACCAGCTCAAGGCGCAGTACAGCCAGGCGGTGACCAACGCCGCTGCCCTTAAGCGCCAGTCGGCCGCTATGCTGAAGAGCCAGCAGGAGGTCTATGCCAAGGACCGGGCCGCGCTGGTGGCCCAGGCATCATCCGCCGATGTTGCTGCTGCCGCCGACGCAGGTCTGGTCCGCGAGCTTGAGGCCGCCAAGGCCACTCTTACTGAGCTTGAAGCCGCGCGCTCGGCTCTGCTCCGCTCCAATGCCGAGCTTGGGCGTGATCTGAGTCACCTTCGCGAGCTTGCTGGCGCCGGGCCGCAGGAGCTCGCCCGCGCGGTTGTGGCGGCCAAGACCCAAAAGACCATGTTTGAGGCGCGCCTCAACGAGGTCGAGGCCCTTGTGCCATCGGCTGCTGAAATTGACAGCCTCCTTCTTGAGCGTGATGAGGCGCGACTGCAGCGCGATGCGCTTGAGCTCGAGCGTGACGAGGCGCTCGGCAGGATCGAAGCGCTGGAGCTGGAGCGCGACGAGGCCCAGCTTCAGCACGAAATGGAATCTGCCGACCATCGACAATGCGTTGCTCGCCTCGAGCTCCTCGAGGCCGAGCACGCCAGCTGCAAGGAGAAGTTCGCCGAGCTGGAGGAGCTGCGCCAGTCGGCCAACAACTCGCAAGCTACCGTACAGCTCGAAGCCGTCGAGGCCGAACTGCTCAAGTGTGAGAGCAAGCTCGCCGCTCTTCAGCTCCAGTACGAGATGGAGTCTGTCGACCACCAGCAGTGTGCCGAACGCCTAGCAACGGCTGAGGCTGAGCACGCTGAGTGCAAGACCAAGGCTGACGAGCTCGAGCGGCAACTGGAGGAAGCGCAGGCCGCAGTGACCGCAGCCGCACAACGACCAGCGCCCGTCATTGCTCCTGCTAGCTCGCCGCCGCGCCAGGCCATCAACATATCGCTGGGCGAAGCCGAAGACCTGCGCGGCTATCTGGCGCCGGCTACGCCTGTGTCGGCCCGGCGCGGACTGGGCGCATCAGCGCTGGGGGGCTCGTCGCTTGGCGCTTCGCTCTGGAGCCCTGCACGCACCACAAGCTTTGCTGAGCCCGCCACGCCGGGCGAGGTCCTTAACCGAGCGCTTGCGTCGTCTAATCCGATGGGTGCGCTCAAGATGCACCTGGTCTCGCTCCGCGGCCTTTGGCAGCACGAGGTCAAGGCTAATGCTGCGCTGCGCGAGCTGATCGAAACGATGAGGGCCGACCGCGATCGGGTTGCCCACGAGGCCCGCAGCCGTGAGGAGCAGCACGCGCGTGTGGTGGCCGAAAAGGACCGCGCCCTTGACGAGCTGCGCATCAACGTGACCCAGCACATGGCCCAGGCCCAGGCTCACTCGTCGTCGCTTGTCGAGACCATTTCGACCAACCTGAGCGAGATGCAGGGCTCCCAGTCGGTGCTCTCGCAAACAGCGCTTGCGGCGTCGACTGAGGCCAACCGGCTGCGGGTTGAGCTCGAAAGCGCCCGCGACAAGACTCAAGCGGCCATCCGTGAGACCGACCGAATCCGGGACCAGGCCGCGGCTGACCTTGCCTCAGCTGAAGCGAGTGCTGCCAACGCACACGCCCAGGTGGCTCGACTCGCTCACGAGAAGCAAGCCGTTGAGGGCGAGCTTGCTTCGATACGGGCCCAGCTGGAAGCTGTCCAGAGCGAGCGCGCTGGGGCACAGGACTCGATCTCACAGCTGACTCGAGCGCTTCAACAGTGTCGGGCCGAGGTGGCCGAACTGGAGCGGACTCGCGACGGTGCGCTTGATACTGCATCGGCTGCTGCCGATGAGCTCGAGCGCGTCCGCGCCGAGTTTGACTCGTTGGCCGCCGAACTGGAAACGTGCCGGTCCGAGGTCCGCGCTCGCGACGATGAGCTGCGCCGGGCCAAACGAAGCCACGGCTCGCTGGAGAACTCAGTGGCACTCCTGCTGCAAGAAAAACCGAGCTCGAGTCCAAGTACGACGGGCTCAACGGCGAGCGCATGGCACTGCTGGAGGAACTGGGCCGCCTGCGGGAGACTGAGGCTGCGCTGGCCAACGTCCAGGCGCGCGCTGACAACTTTGAGTCGCTCCTCGGCCAAGAGCGCCAGATCGGAACGGAGGCGTCGACAACGCTCGTCGAGATCCAAACTCGCCTCGCCCAATCTGAGCTCGAGCGGGCTGCGCTCGATTCGCAGCTGCGCTCGGCACGAGTTGAGCTGGCCCAGGCTCAGGGCTCGGCCGAGGCGCTGCGCGAGCAGTTAACCGAGGCAAATGCCGAAGTTGCCACCGCTCGCAACGCCGCTGCCTCTACCCGATCCATGCTGCAGAACGAGCGGGCTGCGTGGGAAGCCAAGGTTGGAGCTGCAGCCGTCTCTGCCCAGCAAGTGCAGGACTCGATCACTCGCGACTTTGAAGCGGCGGCACTGCTTGCCGATGACAACGGCCGTGCGCTTGCGGCTGCCAACGTCGAGCTCAGCTCGCTGCGTGAGGAGCTGGACGAGGCAAGGGCCGACGCGCGGAGTGCCCGCGAGGAGGGCCGCCGACTCAAGCGAAGCGCTGAGGAAGCCAATCGCCTTGCCGAGAGCCGCGAGCACGAGCTTGCAGCTGCCCGCGAGTCAGCGGCGCGGCACCAAGCCGAGATTTCTGAGCTCGCTCTGCAGCTTGCCGATAAGCGCGATGAGGCAGCGGCGGCCGAGGAGGTCAAGGCCAAGGCCGCTGCCGAGGCCGCTGACGCTCGTGAAGAGGTGGCGCGTGCGCAGGCAAGTGTGGCGCGTATGCAGGCCGACCTTGCGGCTGCACGTGGCGAGCTCGAGACTGCCCAGGCTCAACGGGCGGCCGAGGCGCTTGCCAACGCATCTGCAAAGTCGCAGTTGGAGAACTCAGCGCACACTGTTCGGGTCCAGCTCGACGACGCCCGGCACCAGTTGGAGGACTCGCGGCGGGAAGTTGGCGCGCTGCGCGAGGAGCTGGCTGCTGCCCGTCGCGAGCTTGCTGCCAAGGACGCGTCGCATCGCGAGCGGTCGCTGGAGACAACCGCCATCGCGTCGCAGGCCTCGATGGCAGCGCTAGAGCGGGCGCGGACTGTCAGTGAGCTGAGTCAGGCCCGCCAAGAGAACGCCCGACTCCGCGCGCTGGCCGATGAGCTGCAGGCTGAGGTTGAGCGCGAGCGCGCCCGGGGCAACGAGCGGCGCAGTGCGCAAAATTTTGCCTCGGACAAGGTGACGGCGCTCGAAGCCCGGGTTGTCTCTCTCACCGTAGCGCTTGACAAGGAGCACGTCAGCGCGACCAAGGCCGTGCTTGGCTTCCGGATGCTGCAGCACCACCTGGAGCGTGCTAACGCCTTCCGGGCTTCGCTCATCTACCAGAAGCAGTACCTCATCCTCCTTCTCGGCGGCTTTGAGGCGTGCGAGATGGCGACCATGTCGTATCTCTCCCGCCTCGGTGCTGTCCATCAGGAGCAGCTCCAGCTTGGAGGGTCGGCTGCGGTTGCGGCACGCAAGCGCACCGCCCGTCGCCGATTCCGAGTCGCCGCTCATGTTGTGCGCGGCATTGTCCGCCTCCGCATCCTCGCGCGCCGCTTTGCCAAGCTGGAGACGTCGACCCGCGCCCAGATGGCCGAGCTGGGCGAAGACGTGCCCCAACCAACGCCGATGCCGCCGCCATCACGGATGACACCACCGCTGCAGCGGCGCCCGCCGCCGGCAGCCCAAGCCTCAAGTCATGGCACTCTCCGCGCGCTGAACCCGTCATACGAAGTGCGGCAGCGGCGTGGGCTCGCCTCAGCAGACCTCGATCACGCGAGCTCTGGCCACGCCCACCGACCGCCAGCTCTGACCCGGGTGGCACCAACTCGCGAAGTGCAGCCGCCTTTGGAGCGCCGCAGCGAGTACGTTGAGTATGCCCACCCGAGGGCGCCATCGGCGTACGGCTCGCAGAATGCCCCGCCCAACCGCGAAGCCGCCGCCACCGGCGCCGCTGAGCGCGAGCAGGCCTATGCTCGCCTGGCGCAGCTGCGGTCATCGACCCGTGCCGAGATCGAGGGCGATCTCTCAACCGGGCGCGTGCCATCTGCACACCTCAAGGCTTATCTGGCGTCGATTGACGATGCCATGACCAAGTTGTCGACCATGTAGCCAGCCCGTCGTGTTCGAGCCGCACCATGTTGACTTACCCAATGTAAAGCAAGCGATTGTCAGATTGTTGATCAGGGCAATGCAATTTGTCTGAAGAGCGCAGGACGTTGGAAGGGTGAGGCGAGCAGCATTGCCCTGCACTCGTACGTAGTCTTCGGGTCGTGGCCGCTGTGGCAGCAACGCGTGCGTGCGGTTCAGCGGCGGCGTGCATCGCAGCCGACGCTCTCTTCGCCCGTCACAGGCACTTGTCGCAGATTGCAGCACTCGTACACATGGTCGCTAGCGGATTCTTTTGTGTCGTCTCTCTACAGCTGCGGGGCCGTGTGGTGCTGGTGTTGGCTGTGTTGGCGCTGGTGGCAGCGGCGGGGAGTACGCGTGCGGCACCTGTGGAGCTACTGACGGTGCCTGACGACGCAAACGGATTCCCCACAAAGGTGAAGAGCGCGGGTGCAGTTGCGGTGGACGGCAAGACCGGGTACTATGTGTCGCTGGTGGAAGGCGCGCCCGCAGCGCCATGGCACCTCCACATGTGGCGGTGTGATCTGGACGGCGCAGCGCCGACCTGCAGCCAGATTATGGGCAACGACGCGCCGGCCTCGTTTTCGCCCGATGTGGCCCTGGCGGTTGGCCCACCGCTCGCTGGGCCGCTGCTGGTCTACTCTGGGAGTGCCGGACTGGTGACGGTGGCCTGCCTCGACGAGACGTGCGGATCGGTGAACAGTACTACCCACGGGTCAGTGAATGTGATGACTGCGTCGCGGCTTCGGGTGGCCCGCGACGGTGGCGCGCGGCTGCCAGTGATCACGATGCGGCTGTCAAACACTGATGGCATGGTTGTGGCATGCAACAACGTGGTCTGCTCGTCTGCAACGAGCTCCAAGATTTTTGGCTCTCAGGCGCAGCCGCCCAAGAACGCCGACCTGTCAGCGGTCGCTTCTGACAACGAGGTCTTTGTCGGCTACCAGGCGTCAAGCTGCAGTGACGCCGGCTCGCCGACCGAAGCAGAGTACATTTCGTGCACGACGACGGCGTGCTCGGCGATGACCCCAGTGGCTGAACTGGCTACCATCGGCAAGTGCACGAGCTCGTGGCTGAGCGGCATGACTCACGTCGGTGTGGGTGAGCCAGTCAACAAGGCCACGCTGCCGTACGTGTTCTTCTACAACTTGGAAAGCGATTCGATCATGCTTGCCCGCTGCACCAATGCCGAGTGCGGGAATCCGGTGGTGCAGACCGTGACCGAGCCGGGTGTCTCCAACTGGCGGATGTGGCAGGGCGAGGCCGAGACCGTTCCGCTCTTTGTCACCGCGCCAACTGCTGCCTTTGGCAATATTCCGTACGCCGTCGCCATCTGCGCCGGCATGGCTGCAGACTCGGGATGCTCCAGCTTCAAGCATGCCTCGTTCGGCGTCGGCGCCGACATTGCTCTCGGCTCGCCTGCCGTCGCCGGTAACGCGGACGCCTCGGTCGTCGTCATGGGCTACGCCGCGCACGACGACGAGGCCAAAGAGTCGAAGATCATGTTCGACTACGCCACTGCCTCTAGCTTTCAGCCGGGATCGGGAACGACATCTGCAAGCATCATCTCTTTGCCCGCCCCCGCCTCATCGCTGCGCTTGTCCTCGTCCTCGTGCTTGCCCTCGTTGCGCCTGGAGCCCTGTAGCCCGCCGATCGTTTCTGTATCCTCCAACAAAGTCGATGGCAAACCACGACCTTTCTGTACGCAGGTCTCCCCCCTTCCCCCCTTCCCCCCTTCCCCCCGCCCCCCCCCCCTCCCCACCCCTCCCCACACACCCACCCTTGCACGTACTTTACGCCAATGGCTGAGGTCCACCAGGGTGTGCGGACGGGAGTGGCCGTGTACGCGGCAAATAGTCCGTGCGAGGACATGCACCTGCAGACCGCGGTGGGAGGCGGAAGCGTGGTGGCGGTGTTGGACGGACACGGTGGGGCGCGGGCGGTCGCCTTTGCCCGCAACAAGCTTGTGGCTGCGCTCGGCGAGGCGTTGGATGGCGTACCTCCCACTGGAGTAGGTGCGGCCATGCAAGGAGCTCTGCTGGCAGTTGATGATGCGCTGCTGGCCGAGATCAAGGCCAAGCCGTATCCGACCACCGAGGCCGAGTTTGACGACAAGATCGGCCTGATGGAGCAAGGCGCGTGCGCGTCGCTGGTGTGGATCCCGACGCACGGGCGCGGCGAGATGGCGGTGGCACATCTGGGTGATACGCGAGTTGTGGCCGGCTCGCCATTGGGCGTTGCCCACGCTCTCTGCGAGGTGCACAACGCCGCAGAGCCTGCCGAGCGAGCCCGGCTCCAGGCTGCGCTGCCAAAGGACAAGCGCCTGTTTAAGACATATCCGGGGGCAGAGCCGGGCTCACTCAAGTACTATGTCAAGGGCATTGTGCAGGTGACCCGAGCGCTCGGCGACGGATATCTCAAGGACCGCGAGCTAGCTCGACTGCACAACAAAGCCGCGCCACAGTTCAAGGTCTCGCCGCTGCCCAAAGAGGCTGCGCCGTACGTCTCGCCGCACGCACAAGTCGCGTCGCTCGTCATCGGGCGCGGAAGCAAGGACGAGCCCGCCTTTGTCGTTGTTGCCTCCGATGGGCTCTGGGACCACATGACCGACGGTGAGGTGACTCGCTTTGTGGCGAGCCGGCTGACCGCTGCCGCCCTGGCCGGCCCGGCCCGCTCCCAGATCTCTGACGCCGCCCTCAACGCCACAGCACAGGCTCTCATTGATGCTGTCCTTGACAAAGTTGCCGCCGGCTTTGAGCTCACCCGTGCCGAGCTCGAAGCCAAAGTCGCCGGCGCTCGCGGCGACTCGGGTCGGCGATCCTACCACGACGACATCACCGTCATTGTGGCGCTCCTCCCGGTCCCGCCTCCTGCAGCTGTGCCAGCTGAAGCAAGCTCGCCCATGGTGCGCCAGCCATCGCGTCCGCTCATGCCCATCGCCGAGGTCGGCCGTGACTTTTCGGTCGTCAACACCACAGCCAAGATGCAGGCGCTCTCGTCGCCGCCTGTCGCGCCGGTTCGGTCCCGCCGCAAGCGGGCTCCGCCGACGTCGACTGCGCCCTGCTCAGTCGAGCAGAGCCAAGCCGCTGAGAGCTCGCCACTACAAACCCGGGCCCAGCGCAGGCTGAAGCGGCAAAAGCGGTTGGGCCGGTGAGTGTGCCTCCGTCTAGCACGTTTGCGCCATGCACGTGCAGCCCAAAGTGAAAGACTGGAATAGAACACTCTCCGTTCACTCGACTAAGGCCAGGCAAGCCACATCTGCAGTCGCCTCATCCTGCACGGCTGCCGACTTGTTTCTGGCCTCCACCGGACTCATGTTTGGAAGCGCAAAGGTGGCTCTGTCGCTCCACGCGGCTGCCGCGGCCGGTGATGCGGCAAGGGTGGAGTCGCTTTTGGAAGCCGGGGCGGACGCAGGAGCAGGCAACGATCGCGGGTGGACGCCGATGTACGTGGCGGCACACTACGGACATGTCCACATCATCAAGATCCTTGCGGGAAGTCCAATAGCCGATGTCAATGCGCCCAACTCTCGCGGATGGACGCCGCTGCATGTGGCGGTGGTCTGCGGGCATGACGATGTGGTGGACTGGCTGGTCAGCTGCGGCGGAGCCGATGTGGATGCCGTCTCGGTTGCCGGCGAAACGCCGCTGATCCTTGCCGCCAAGCACAATCGGACCAACATGATTGACATTCTCCAGTCCAGTGGAAAGGAACCGCCAGCAGGCTGGCTCGCATCGGGCTCGGTGGCTGAGTTTGATGCTCCGCGCGCCAAGCTCCTCGCGCCGGTGCCTCGCGACGCCGATGGCGCCGTCGACGTGGCTGCCTGGGTGGTGAAGATGGACGATGAAGGGGTGTTTCAAGCCCATGCCCAACAGTGGACACTAATGCACCTGGCTGCAGCCACAGAGTCTCCAGTTATGGTCCTTTGGCTCGTCACCCACTGCCCGGAATTGATCAGCGTCGTGGACGGCAACGGCGCGACGCCGCTGCACTTCGGCACTGCCTCCATCCGAGTTGTGCAGATCCTGCACAGTCATGGTGCGAGCTTGTGCCAGCTTGATGCCAATCGCCACAGTCCTGTGGACAAGGCAATTGCGGGTAACCACGTGCCGTCGCTCAAGTGGATGGCGCGATGCGCTGGAAAGGCGAGTTGCACCAAGTGCGGCACCATCCTCCTGCACTCGCTTGTCATGTCCGGCAATGTCGAGACGCTAATGTCTGTCATGCTAACGTACACCGCAGGCATGTTGTCGTGGTCTTCGCCAAACGGGCAATCACCGCTTCATCTAGCTGTCGCGCTCGGCAACACGGCGATGGTCGAGGCACTGCTGGCGACAGCTGTCGGTCCAACGGCGGCCGTTCCTACTCGCACTGCCGAGGCCGACGAAGATGACAAAAGTGCCATCGCATGGAAGAAGGAGGAGGCCCTGCTGCGTGGCGGATGGTCCAAAGGCGTGCGGTTTGCAGCCGACGCCGCGGACATCGTCTTTTCATGGCTCTCGATGCTCAACGAGGACGGCGAGGCACCGCTACACATTGCAGCCGCCCTTGCGACCGACAACGATGGCCTGGAGAACACCATGCATGTTGTTACTATGCTCCAAGTTCTCCGTGATGCCGGTGCCGACAAGACTCTGCGGAACAGTCGTGGGCAGCTCATCCTCCACATTGCGGTGGAGCATGCGATCGCGGCCACGAGCAAGATCCTGGATGCGATCCCCGGGGTCCTCCCGGTTACCCTTTTCTGGAGTACGTTATGATGTTTAACGCCGACGCGAACGCATGCGACGGCAGCGGCTTGACCGCGCTTCAATGCGCAGCGACTGCAGGCGCGACAACGGTGATCCGAGTCCTGCTCAAGGGATGCAGCGTCGACGCGCGCGGAGCGGACCACACCACTGCGCTTCACTGCGCAGCGGCTGGCAACCACGCCAATGCCGTGTGCATGCTTGTAGCCGAGGGTGCCGACACCGAGGCTCGTGACAGGCTGGGCGCTGTCCCGTTACACTACGCCGCTAAGGCATCTGCGCTCGAGTCTGTTGCCGCTCTCATCCGGTGCGGCGCCGACGTCGACGCGCGTAATGACCGGCTCGAGACTCCGCTCCATGTTGCGGCCAAAACGATGGTGCCAGCACCTTGGCGCGGCTTCTCCAAGCCGGTGGCTCATCCGGCTCACGGTCTCTCATCGGTGGCACCGTTGTCCATGCCGCGCTCGACTCGCCAGCTTGTGTAGCTGTGCTGCTCTCGCATGGTGCTGACCTGCGGGCGCGCGACGAGGCTGGGCGAACTCTCGCGCACTTGGCCGCCATGGTGGGCCGGCTGGATGTCATCGAAGTGCTGGCCGTTCACGATATTTGCCTTGTGGCCAAAGCCGGCGTCGACGAACTTGGCGCCACTCCGCAGCTCTACGCTTCGGCGTGCGGCGACGTGGCCATGGTGGCCTATCTCATCCTCTCCGGCGTAGACTCTACCCAGTTGGCATCTGATGTCGCCATCGGTAACCTCTGTATTCCTGAGACCATTGTGACCTTTCTCGCTTCCGTTGAGCTCTTGGGAGCTACCACCCGCGACGCTGTCATCGCAGCACTTCCCGAGGCCAGCGCCCGCGCCGTACTTGCCGGCGCTGCCCTCCCGCGCTGATATGCATACGCTGACAAACCGAGCATCAAAACATCCGGCCCAGACCAGCTGACACCCCCCCCCCTCCTCCATCCCTTCCCTCGATCAAGCCATGTCATGATGACGTGCAGCAAGAGATGCGGACAGGCGGGCGCCGATGATGACATGGTGCCACATTGATTGTTGTTTGGCCAACAAACAACAGCCAGAGGAAGCGGACGACAAGGCGTCTCCTCGCACCCGCACCCACACCCGTTCAGCACCACACAACTCGGAAAACGGGACAACATGCTCCGTGCTACGACTCTTATGGCTGCCACCGCTCCGCTGCGGCGGCTTGTGCCTTCCCTCACCACGCGGTACGCACCCAGTGTCTTGGCCATCCCCCGCCCCATCCCCTCACCCCGTCTGCACCGTTCCTGGACGCGTCACTTGGATGGATTGGGTCGCGAACGGGTGGAGGGCGGGAGGGGGGGGGCGGGGGGTGGGAGGGGGGGGGTGGGAGGGGGGGACGGTCTGGGCGGTCTGAAGGGGGGAGGAAGGGGGAATCAGGTAGGGAACAGGCAGACTCACGGCATGAGTGTGATGTAATGATTGGGGGAGTAGGGCTTTTGCGGGCGCTGTGGGCGTGAGTGAGGGCGCTGCAGGCGCTGAGGACGGCGCCGGCGGAGCAACGCAGGTGGCAAACATCCCTACCATTGGCATCGACCTGGGCACCACCAACTCGTGCGTGGCGGTGGTGGAGAACGGCGAGCCGCGAGTTCTGGAGAACGAGGAGGGTAAGCGGACGACGCCGTCGGTGGTGGCCTTCCAGCCGGATGGCTCGCGGCTTGTGGGCGCGCCGGCCAAGCGCGGTGCGGTGACCAACCCGAAGAACACCATCTATGGGGCCAAGCGGCTTATCGGGCGGACGTTTGACGACCCGGCCATTGCCACGCTGCAGAAGATGGTCTCGTACGAGATCTGCCGCGCGCCCAACGGGACCGATGCCTGGGTGTCTGCCCAGGGCAAGCAGTACTCGCCGTCGCAGATCGGCTCATTTGTGCTGACCAAGATGCAGGAGACTGCAGCGCGCGTGCTCGGCGGCATGCCCAACAAGGCGGTTATCACCGTCCCGGCGTACTTTGACGACTCGCAGCGGCAGGCAACCAAGGATGCCGGCCGCATCTGCGGCTTTGACCAGATCCGGATCATCAACGAGCCGACGGCGGCGGCGCTCTCGTACGGCATCAACTCGACCGAGGCGCAGACCATTGCGGTGTACGATCTCGGCGGCGGTACCTTTGACATTTCGGTCCTCGAGGTCGACGACGGTGTGTTTGTGGTCAAGTCGACCGGCGGTGACTCGACGCTCGGCGGCGAGGACTGGGACGAGACCATTCTGCAGCACATGCTGTCGACGTTCAAGTCGCAGACCGGCGTCGACCTCTCGGGCGACCAGATGTCGATCCAGCGGCTTCGCGAGGCGGCTGAGGAGGCGAAGCGCGCCCTCGACGCGTCGCCGTCGACGGACATCAACCTGCCGTTCATTACCCAGACCGACGGCGGCCCGCTGCACTTTGAGGCGACGCTGACGCGCGCCGAGCTGGAGAAGCTCACCGGCCCGCTCATCGACAAGACCCGGGCGCCGTCTGAGCAGGCGCTCCGCGACGCGCACATCTCGGCGGCCGAGGTGGACAAGGTCCTGCTTGTTGGTGGCATGACCCGCATGCCTAAGGTTGTCTCGACGGTGGCCGAGCTGTTTGGCAAGGACCCGTCCAAGGGCGTGAACCCGGACGAGGCCGTGGCTTCGGGCGCCGCCATTCAGGGCTCGATCCTCGACGGCGCCATCTCGGGCGTGGCCCTTGTCGACGTCACGCCGCTCTCGCTCGGCACCAACGTGGAGGGCGGGCTCTTTGCCCGCATCATCGAGCGGAACACGCCGATTCCGGTCTCCAAGACCAAGACCTTTACCACTGCACAGGACCACCAGACGTACATTGTCGCCGACGTCCTGCAGGGCGACCGCGAGCTCGCCGCCGAGAACCGCAAGCTCGGCACGCTGCGCCTCGACGGCATCCCGCCCATGCGCAAGGGTGTGCCGCAGCTCGATGTTACCTTTGACCTCAACGCCGAGGGCATCCTCAAGGTCACCGCCACCGACCAGGCCACCGGTACCACCTCGGAGACCGTGGTCGAGACCAAGGGCGGCCTCACCGAGGCCGAGATCGAGCAGATGGTCCGTGAGGCCGAGATGTTTGCTGAGGAGGACAAGAAGCGCCGCGCCGCCATCGAGCTTCGCAACGAGGCTGAGTCGCTCGCTCACACCACCCGTGCCTCGGTCGAGGACAACGCCAAGCTCCTCACCGAGGCCAGCAAGACCAAGCTCCTCTCGCAGGTCGACGCCCTCGAGGCTGCGCTCGACGGCAAGGACGGCGATGCGCTCCGCGCCAAGATGGACGAGCTTAAGAACGAGGTCAACGACGCCTTTGAGGCCGCCTACAAGTCCAAGCAGGGCCCTGCCGCCGGCACCCCGCCGCCGGAGCAGCAGACCCCGCAGCAGTAAACAGCCCTAATGAGTCGGTCGACCCTACCCCCCACTCCGAGCCGACCTGCCGTCACCCATCATCGCCCGCCGCCGCCCGCCGACCGCCGCGACATCCCACGCCCACCCCCCCCCCCCCCCCACCCCTCCGCTCCCCGCTCCCGACCCCTACCGCCTCCAATCTACCGGCACCCCACTCCACCACCCCCAGCCCTACCCCCCCGGCCCACCCCCCAGCCCCAGCCACCTCCTCCCCACACATATGTTTGCCCTCCGCCTCTGCACCCGCCAGCCCCGCCCCGCAGCCGCTGCGCTGTCGACCACGGCCCGGGCTGCGGTGGAGATCTTCGAGACGCCCGCAGGGAGCGGACGCGGCGCCGGCGGGCAGGTCGATGCCGTGGCCCTAGCTGCCCTGCCAGACGTGCCTGCCATGGTTGATGCCCTACAGGATGCCTTGGACTATGAGCCGGGCTTCCACCGCTGGCGCCGTGGCGGTGCCAGCAAGTTCCTCCCTCGTCTGGTTGACCCGGCCGCCCCCGCCGCCGCCATGGCCGCCGCCGCCGCCTCGGCCGATGACGTCGCCGTCATCTTCTCAACCGCCCTGCCGCTGCTCAACCTTGCTGCTGCTGCCGAGTACGGCTCCGTCGCCGCCGTCCCTGCTCCGCTTCTGGATTCGGCTGCCACCGCCCGCCTCGTCGCCCTCGCCGTCGACGATGCCGCCCCGGGCGTCATCGCCGACGCCCTCGCCGCCCGCCCCACCACCCGCCTCTTCCCGGCCGCCGACGACTACAAGGCCCTGCTTACCGCTGCTGCTGACGCTGCCCCTGACACGCTCTCGCGCATTTATCCGTTTATGGCCCTGGATCACCCGCAGGCTCTCGACAACGACACCGCAACTGCCGTCGTCGCCGCTGCCGCCGCCGCTCCGACCTGGGCCGACGACGCCGCCTCCATCGCCGCCTCCCTCCCCGATGCTGACGCCGATGCCGATGCCGATGCTGCCCCGGCCGCTCCTGCCTCGGTCTCGCTCCCCAAGAGCCTTGCCACCGCAGTCCAGGTTGCCGCTGACGCCGCCGCCCTCGGCCTAGACACCGCGCCCGCGCTCGCCCGCGACATCCTCGACGCTGTGGCTCATGCGCCCGAGCTTGATGCGCGAGTGGGCGACGCCCTCACCGCACAGATTGAGGCTGTGCTTGATCTGTAGAGTGAACGACTGCTTGATGATGATGATAAGTGGGAGGAGGAGATGGGTGGGGGAGGGGGTTTCTTCATGCTCTTCATGGTCAAGGGAAATCTCCCCAAGCCGACTGACGCAAGCAGTACGAGGCGGACACGTCGGAGCAGCCACAGCAGGCACCCAGGAGAAATACTCCCCCGAGGCCCGACCGCCCACTGTCTGTCCCTCTGCTGCGCTAATAAAGCTGGGTTCTACACCTAGACACATGTACATCATTCAGCACATGCGTGTGTTGGAGGGGGGGGGGAAGGGAGGGAGGGGGGGGGGGGGGGAGGGGGGAGGGGGAGGTGGGGATGTCCGAGGGATGGCAGTGGTGGGCTCAAATGAGCCTCTCTTGCACCCACTGCACACGCCACACCACGCGCACCACGCGCACCACACACACCACACACACCACACACACCACACACAATACACACAATACACACAACATACACTTGCTCGCTTACAGAGCACAGGAACGCTAGCTCATCTCCATACATTTTCTTCTCAGTTCACATGAGTGGTCCTACATCGAGAGTTGTGTCTGTGGTGACGGAGGACACGGTCAACTCGTTCAGTCCGGTGTGCTTGGTCGGCTCTTCGGGGCCTCACCTTGCCATCAAGGCGTGATCAAGCAAGGCCCGGAACCGCCTAACCAACCAGGGCGGGAGCTCGGCGCGCACAACGGCAAAGGCCTGTCGTTGCGACTCGGGCACGTCGCCAAAGACTAGGATGGAGTGGGTGACAAAGTCGATGATGACCTCGAGTGCCGCCCGGTCTATCGCGTCGAGCTCCGGCTCGTCGCTAACGTCGCCAAAACATCGACAACCGCCTGGAGCACCTCGAGCACCAGGTGGATGGTCAAGTTTCCATGCTTGGTCATCCGGTACACCGCTGGTCCCACAATCTGGCAAACAACGTGGACCTGTGAGATGGAGACAGCCGGCCGGATCGACCGCACAAACTCGGGCAGGCACTCGAGCATCATGGCATCTACGCCGAGAAGAAAGGCGTGCGCAAAGACAATGAGCGAGTCGCAATCCGACGGCCGCCAGAGCGAAAATGTTGTCGGTACATGCTGCAACGTTCCCTTCACCGCGTCAATCCACGCGTACAGCACCGGAACGTGGTACGCCGAGGGAAGCCGCGCAAGGAGCCCGGCCTTGGCCAGTCCGCGCCGCGCCTCGGTGTCTGCCAGCAGTAGCGCCGCGGCGTCGTCCGCTGCCAGCGGCAGTGCCAGCACCTGGATCGCCGCAGCCATAGCTAGCCGCGGTGCTGCAGCCTTAAACTCGCGATGCGAGGCGTACGGCAAGTCGTGTGGCCCGGCTGCGGGCGGGCCGTCACCTTGGCCCGGCAGGTGTGCCGTCAAGCTGTCCAGCACCCGTGTCAGGAAGCTCGTGCCATCAGCATTGACCATCTTCAGCTTTCTCGCCATCATCGATGCCGTATGGACCCCATCTTCGATGACGTACTCCACAAAGGCGGGGTCAAGGGCGTGCCCAAGCTCAGAGTCCGACTGGGCGCGCCGGCTGCCGCGCGGAAACGCAAACGTCCGGACCAATGCCCGCTTGACCTCGGGCGTCAGACCAGAAGACTCGGCGTGGTAGTGCAACAGATCGTGAAGCGTCTGCATCGGCCGTGGCACTGACGCCACCACAAAGTTCAACGGAGGCGCAAGGAGCACGCTTGTCACAAACTCGGGCGCGTCGGCCGCAATGAACCGCGAGAGCACAAGCTGCAGATACGGCGTGAGCCGCGACATTTCCGAGTGGTAGTAGGTCGGCAGCGCGTCGGGGCTGCGCCCCCGCTGCGGAAACCGCTCCTCGTATGCTGCGAGCGCAGGCAGCATCCAAGATCCAAACACCGCACCCGGTGGCTCAGCCTCGGCTAGCCGCGCGTCGCACGAGCCAAACCAAAGCGAGGCCCGCGCACTCACCGCGCTCGAGGTCAGGAAGCCCTGAAGAAGCTGCAGCGCAATCGGGTTGGCATCGACCTCCAGTAGCGCCATAATCAGCTCGCCAGCATCCACAAGCTGCCACTCAAACGCCATCGCGACCAACCGCGCCACCCCACGCTCGACAGCCTTGCTCGTCGCCCCAGCGTAAGAGTCGGAGATGTGTGAGACAGCAAAGGCCACCGCGTGAAACAGGGCACGCGTCACCATGTGCGGCTTGACAGCGTCGAGAACAACTCTCATGTTCACGACCAGCGCATCGCTGGCAGCCGTAAACGCCGTCATCCAGAACCACGACAGCACGTCACGGAGGTAGAGCGGGCTTGACGCAGAGCTTGCGTCGCCAGCCTCTGTGCCCGCGCTCGAGCCCGACATCGTCGCCGCCCACGCCGCCTCCTCTGCAGCGACCACTCGCTTGACCAGCGGTGAAGTAGCCGTCAGGACTGGCGACGCCCCACAGAGATGCTCGCTCAATGAATGGGCCTGATCGTACGCCGAGACCTCCACCGCAGTTGGTGCAGCATCCTTCCACGACTTTGACCCCCAGAGGCTGGCGTGCGCCGCCTCGCTCACATCGACCACGTCCATGGCAGCGAGGCCCGAGCCCGAGTCGAACTTGCCAGAGTTCGACTTTGACCCGCTTCTGTGCCCACGAGCAGCCTTGCCGCTCGCCGCGACTGTGCTGATGGCATCGACAAGTGGAGCCGGGAAGGCCATGAGCACGTGCTGCGGCCACTTGAGCGTCGCCGGCGACGCTTGGGCAATGGCCGTCACCACGTCCGGAAGCTTGCCGAGCTTGCCACGAACCGCCACGCCTCGCACCGCCAGTGACATGGCCAGCGCCTGCATACTGGCCGAGTCGACTACCACCGTCTGCCGCGTCTTCAGCTGCGCCAGTGGACTCTCCAGGTTGTTGTGGAGAGGGAGAAGCACAAGTATGAGGTGCTGCACCGCAGCGTAGACAGCTCGCGAGCTGGTCTTGGTGAGATAATCCGAAAGGCCGACAAGAATGTCGCCCACGCTCTCATTATCAACCAGCCAGTTGACGAGCCGCGCCGAGAAGAGTTCCGAGAGCGCGACGGCCAGTCGCTTGCGCTCAGAGGCGGTCCGTAGCACAAAGTTGAACAAACTCCGAAGCGCGCATGCGTTGGGCGCCGAGTTGAGCAGCCGGGCCAGTGTGTCCAGCGCACCCGGCGGAAAGGCCTCGCGGCGCACAGCTTTCGGCGCAAGGTATGAAAACAGGAAACGCGCCATGTCCGACCGCGCCCGCAATGACAACATGTGCACCACCGCGAGCGGGACTGGCGGGTCCAGGTTCGGCACGAGAGTGCCCGACGGCAGTGCCGGTGTCTCATTCACATCGTTCGAGCCGTAGCCGTGGCCTTGATACAGCAGCTCGATCATCCATCGCGCCACCTCATTCGGCGCGTAGAGTGTGACGACGCCGAGCGTGCAGATGTCGTCATCACGCCACTCGTTCACCGGCTTGGACCCCAGCTTGGCCACAACGTCTCGCGCTGACGACGACATCCGGGAATCGCGGTGCGATTCGATGTACCGACGCAAGACCACGTACGTCAAAGTCAGCTTGGCCGGCGACGGTGCAAAGACATGCTTGGCTTGCGCGAGATGGAGAGCGTTCACAAGCTGCCGGCCCACAGCGCTTTCCGACACCTGGTTCGCAATCGACGGCGCCATCAAGACCTGGAGGACGAGATGGCCGAGCTCAGTCGGGATCGAGGCCTCGTCCGCGCCTGTGACAAACTCCTCAAACAGGGCGCAGAAGTCGACTACCCTGATGAGCTGCTTCTCCAGCATGGCGTAGATGAGGTCGGCGACGTCTGCCCACTCGCCGTAGTACGACGATGGCAGGTCTGCAGTCTTCAGCACCGGCTTGGCCGGCGCCGCGAGCCACTCGGACGGGATCGGAAGGAGAGTCGAGTTGGCGAGAGGATGCGGCTTGGCGCCAGTGGCCGGTCCACGGGCAACGAGCTCGGTCAGCCGCGTGCGGACGGCTCCGACGACGAGGTCACGGATGTGGCCCGCATCGTAGCCAACCTTCGGTAGGCTGCCCAGTGCCGAGCGCATCCTGTTGAGGGTAACACCCTGGTACAACATGCCGGCAAACGCAATCGGGTTGACGTACGGCGACGGCGAGACGTAGACAATGTGGTACGCCGGATTGACGCGGGCGATGGTCAAAGCCGACGACGTGTCGTCGGCATAGCGAGTGACGCCGAGAAGCCCGGAAGCCACAGTCGGTGGAAGGAACGTCATCAGCCGCTCGAGCGCAATGCGACGGAGCGCAAACTGTTCAGCAAAGGCCTCAAGCGTCCAGTGAAGCTGCGCCTTGCCAAGGATGTACGGCCGCAGCTGGACAATGACCGCGTAGTGCGGGATGAGAAAGCGTGGCGGCGCAACGAGCTCGTTGAGCAGATCGGCAGCAGCCTGGACCACACCCATGAATTGCCGCGGAAGTGCGGCCGGTGGCGGCGGAAGCAGGCTCTCAAGACACTTGAGAAGGAGGTCGAGGACGGTGGTGCAGGTGGCGAGCGAGGCCTCGTGCACATGGCTGCGAACGCAGGCCAGGACGGCGGAACAGGCGAGCGGCTCAACTGTCGCCGCGGTCTGGGCGCGATGACGCAAATGGTACAGCACACTCGGCAGGATGTCGTCGACGAGAAAGACTTGCCCCACCAGAGCCTCGAGCAGATCGGCCACAAGTCCGACCCGCGGGCGATGGCCGCCATCCCAGTGCAGCGCATCGAGAACAACATTGATAACAGCGTTGCGCTCCGGACGGGCCAGTCCGTCGACTAGCCGCGCCGCTGCCGCAGCAAACGCCTTGGCCAGCGCCGCCCGCCCGGTTGGCCCGCCGCCCCGCGAGCCGTGGGACAGCAGAGCATCTGGCCCGGCCTCTGCCCGTCCGCCTGCAGCAGAGGCAGACGACGTAGCCTGCCGTCCCACGCGCGAGGGCAGTTCTGCAGAGCTAGCCTCCCACATGGCCGAGTCTGTGGTGGCCAGCGCCGCAGCGTACGAGCCGTGGGTACCCTCTGCCGCCGTGGAGTATGCCCTCAGCGCCGACTTGAGGAGGTTGGCCATGCTCGCTGCCGGCCCGTCGTCCCCAGCCATACCCGAGGCCTCAAAGGGCGGAAACGCTTGGGTGCCCATGCACACGTGGAGGAGAGGGGTGGAGGTGGGGAGGGAGGGGGTGTGCCTCGGGGAGGGGGGGGGAGGGGGCTTGTTGCCGAACCTCCGGCGAGCCAGCCAGCCAGCCAGTTGGACACCATGGCCGGTCGCTGCCGATGTGCGCATGGGTGTTCATCGCAGCAGCACCAACAATGTCCACAACGGAAGTGTATGTTGCTACTGGTCTGTCTATGGCCATAGATGGGCTGCAGATGGCCCTACATCGCCGTACATCGCCGTGCATCGCAGCCGATCTGTACATCGCCGTGCATCGCAGCCGCTCTGTACATCGCTGTACATCGCAGTCGATCTGTACATGGCCAAACATCACAGCCAAATGCCCCCTCCTCCACTGCGGCCAACCCTCTACCAATCACTGCCCACCGCAAACGTTCCACCGCTGCTGCCCACCGCTGGTCAGGGACGCCGCGACAGGCCGATGTCACACTCGGTCACCCGACTCCACCCAACCACCCACACGCATACACACACACACACACACACATACACATACACGCATACCCTAGACTCAACTGGTTGCGCCGATATGGATACCCATGTTCGACATGGATTGTCGCTGGTGGTCGATGCCACTGAGGGCGACGTGTTTGGGAGTGAGGCCGTGACCAGGTTGGTGGAAGCTCTGCTGTTCCTTCGGGCACAACATGGCCAGACGGCGGCCATGGTCGCGCTCGACTGCCTGCCAAACATTACGCTGCCGCGCATGGCGAGCGGGACCTCATGTCACGATGGCGATGCAGCTTATTCGGGAAAACGAGAGCCCGATAGTGTGCGGCTGGCGGGCGCCGTGGCCAAGTTGATGGAGAACGCGACGTCGCGGTCGGCGATTCTGACAGTCGAGCTGGTCGAGGTGGTGGGCCTTGGCGGTGATCCGTGCTACGAGGAGTGGACCATCAAAGTAGTGGACGTGGGCAGCAAGGATGCGGTATCGCTGCTGGAGGCTTGTGATGGGTCGGTGCGCCAGGCTGTGGAAGCCTCGCTCATGGCTGCCATCGACGAGCTCGAGGCCAAAGCCGCCGCCCTCCTCACGGCAGACCACGCGTATCTGCCCAAGTTGAAGGAGAGTGTGGTGCCTGGGCAAGCGGCAAAGTTTACGGTGGACGGGGGTAGCAGCATGTTTTCGCGGATCGTCAAGGCGCTTCGGCCGTCGAAGCAGGTGTGAGGCATAGAACCCTCACGGGTGCGGCGGAGTCCGGCTCGACGGGGTCGCGAGGCCAGGAATGTCAAAGGTGGCCTTGTGGCGCGCAGCAGCTGATGCACTTGTGGTAGGGCGGGCTGTGATGGTGGATGCGGCTGCGGTTGGGGCGCGCGAGCGAGTGCCGACACCTGCGGCGGCAGCGGTCCGCATGTTCTGGCGCGATGAGTCCTCGAGGCGCTTGAGGCGGTTGTTCATGACCTTGATCTTGGTGTTGATCGACTCGAGGAAGCGCATGAGGGTGTTGTGCGAGTCCGAGATGGCGGCGGTGACGGCGGCAGGCTCGGCGTTAGCGGCGAGGCGGAGGATGTTGGGGTCAATCGGGGCAGGGCCTCCCTGATTCGGCTTGCGGATCTCAAGCTTGCGGAGGCCCGGGTCGCCGGATGAGCCCATGCGGGCCACACGCTTCTTGTAGTCTTCGAGGCGCTTCGAGATCTCCTCTCGATGCTCGATCTGCTCGCGCGAGAGCTTCTTGCCCGTCTCGGCCAGGCCCTGCTCGAGCTCCATAAAGTCTGACAGCGCCTCCTCGAGAAGAAGCTTCTCCTCGCGCAAGTCGGCGAGCCAGGCCTCGATCTCGTCGGCGTCGAGCTGGTTGTCTTCGTTCTCATCGTACTGGTCAAAGGCCTCAGCGGCCTCCTCGTCGTTAAGAGCGAGCTGCGTCAGGGCCTCGTCGCGCGAGATCATGCCGTCGAGATTGATGTCACCCTTGCCGGAGCGGATCTTCTCGATGAGCAGCGAGCGCTTGTGGTAGCGCTTGACAAGCATGGCGTCCTTCATAATGAGCATGGCTCGCTTGAGCTGAGCCCACGGCGAGAGCCGCTGCACCTTGCCGGAGAGCAGCTGCTCCACGCGCTGCTCGGCGTCGCGCCGTGCCGCGGCCTCGCGGACTGAGTCGAACGACGACGAGATAATGGCAATGAACACATTGAGGAGGACAAAGAAGACGAGCAGCATGTACGAGAAGAAGAACAGCGGTGCAAGGTACCGGTTCGAGCGCTCGATCTGCGAGTAGTCAAACTCGCCGAGGATGGAGAGGACAAGCGACTCCATGGAGCGGAAGATGGTACGAAAGCCCTCTACGTCGGCCGAAAACATCATGTACCCAGCCTGGGCGTAGCCAAAGAAGATGATAAGGAACATGATCATGAAGAGTACCGTGTCGGCCGCGGCGCGGACAAGCGTCTCGGAGAGCTGGTGGATACGATCAAAATGGTTGAGGTACTTGAGCGTCTTGATCCAACAAAGGAGCATGTTGATGGCGTTGATGTTGATCTCCTGTGTTGCCATCAGCGCCACGCCTTGCAGGTTAAAGTACGCCGCGTTCGACTTGAAATTGCCGGTGTCGAACATCTGCTCGAGGGTGATGGTCATGATGATGCGGAAGATGATGACGACGACAAAGAGCGAGAGGTTGAGCACGTCGAGGTAGTTCCACATGTCGTCGACAAAGTACGCCCGCCATCCGCGGTGCTCGCCGGAAGCACTCGTCACCTTGCCGCGGCAAGCCTGAACGAGCTCGCCCACCTCCTCCACAACGTACATGAAGACCATGGCGCAGAGGAGGAGCTCGCAGACAAGCACAAAGTAGTCCATCGACGAGAGGTAGCGCAGGAGCTTGACGGTACGAAAGTGCGCAAATGGCACGACGCCACCAGCCTCGGGCAGCTCAAAGGCGATACGGATGACGCAGAAAAGGTTGAGGTTGGCGTTGTAGACCGAGAACTCGATGGCCAGCAGCCGGGTCTGCAAATCAACAAACTTGTTCTGCTTGAGGAACGAGATTTGCTGCGTAGCGTTGCCCTTGTCCTTGGCAAGATCCACGACAAAGCCGTCGTCGGGATAGAGAGAGAGCCGCCCATTGACGCCACCAAAGAGGGTCTGCCGGTCGGCCTGCCACACCCACTCGTTGCCCGGCGGGCCAAACGGGTCCTTGGAGACCACCGACGACTTGAACGAGTCGTAACAGTGTTCCACGATGCGCTTAAACTTATCTGCCACCGAGCACGTGTCCTTGCGGATGCGGACCTGGCGGATGCGCACAAGGCCGACGATCTGGTCGTAGCCGTAGATGGCGCGCGAGAGCGAGTCCGGCACCGGGTCACCGGCGTAGTCGACAGTGGGGAAGAGGCCCTCAAGTAGCGGGCCCTCCATGTACTGGAACATCTCGTCGGTGGTGGCTACGTCCCAGAAGGTCTTGCGGATGTGCGAGGCCGAGGCCGGGAACTCTTCCTGGACGAGGATGTCGCGCAGTTGGGCCGACATGTAGTACGCCGACTCTGACGGCCGCGATCCGAACACAATGATGGTAAAGAGGGTGAGAAAGACAAAGTACCGCAGGGTTGAGAACGTCCACGACCGGATGTACAACAGCCGCGAGAGCGAGAGCCCCGTCGACGGCGCATCCTCATCGTCGTCTGACGAGTCCCCACCAAGCCGCACCACGGTGACCCTATCACGAATCTTCTTGAACGTGTTCATGGCGAGGTTGTGTGAGAGGCAGCGGAGGGGGGGGGGGGGGGAGGGGGGGGAGGGGATCGCGAGAGAGTGTGC